TCTATCTATCTATCTATCTATCTATCTATCTATCTATCTATCTATCTCTGTCACTATCTCTCTCTGTTTTCTCTCTCTTCCTCTCTCCCTTTCTATCTTGAAACGTTTTATTGATTCTCTGTGAATTTCATATCATGCAACCCAATCCCACCATCTCCTGGTCCCTCCATATCCACCCTTGCAATCTTCCCCCCAAAGAAAACAAACATAAAAATAAAAACACAATTGATTTAAAATGTGGAAGCTGCAGTGTGTCCCACAGCACACCTTTTGTCCACACAACTTTACTTGCAGATGCAAGGGTAGATGCGGGGGAGTCTCAGTGAACTGTAGTGAGTTGAGAGTAGTCTAGACTGGCCTCTTCGGCCTCAGTGCAGCTCCTGTTCCCTCCCTGGCCTCACCGTTCCAAGCTGCTCCACCAGACCTGCCTTTATGTGGTAAGGCTGAGCTCAGGCCGTCATGCTTGTGTGGGACCCATGTCACTGAGCCATCTTCCAGTCTACATTTTCATTTTTAAAAACTTTATTTTGAGATTATATTTGTATATATATGAGTGTTTGCCTAAATGTCTATCTGTAAACCATGCCCTCTAGTGCCCATAGAGGTCAGAAGAGGGCACTAGAGCTCCTTGGACTGGAATCCTCTTAGACAATGGTTAGGGTGCTGGGGATTGTACTCAAGTCCTCTAGAACAGCAGCCAATGTTCTTAACTGCTGAGCCATGTCTCCAGCACACACACACACACACACACACACACACACACAGACACACACACACACACACACACACACACACACACACACACACGCTATCCTGGAACTCACTTTGTAGACTAGGCTGGCCTTAAATTCAGAGATCCTCCTGCCTCTGCCTCCCTGAGTACTGGGATCAAACATAAGCATCGCTACTCTGGCAGAAAAAGATACTCTATCTCGCTCTCTCTCTCTGATGTAAGTATAGGCCAGATCAGACCAGATTAAAGCAGATAAATGCTGGTTTATTAGATACTGCTCCCAAGCCAATTCATCAGTCCTGAGACTGATGAATGTGTCAGTCCCCAAGCTAAGGCCAGGAGGTTTTTTGAGACGGGGTTTTAGGTGATGGGGTGATGACGTGTTAGCCAGGAGCTGGGACTTGCCCAGGTATGGCCAAAAGCTAAGTCCCTGGGTGAGCACTTGGGTAGGCTAGTCATGTCAGGCAGCTGCCGAGGTTGCCAGAAATGTAGAACAGGGCTTTGGCTTTTGCTGATATTCCTTTGTTCAGTTCTCTCAGTTCAGGAGGGGTTGGAGGAAGGGGGCAGACAGGGTTTCTCAGCTTGTACAGGTGTGAGCAGGGGTTCCAGCCAGACATCCTTACTGACGTATCATCAAAGAGGCTGATGGGGCCTAAGGCACTCAGCATCTCAAACACTGCAAACCACGGAAGATCTACAGAGCTGATTAAGGCACACAGGGAAGTATAAAACTCACAGGAAGTGCCACCACTGCCTGGCTTAAGAAATCTTAAGGAAGGTGGAGGAGGGTCTGGAAAGATGGCTCAGTGGAGGAAGGTGCTTCATTACACCTGACCATGGTGAAAGTAGAGAACTCCATCCAGCAGGTTGTTCTTTGATTTCCAGACACACATCACAGTGTGTGTTTACACACATACACACACACTGTTTTTTTTTTTTTTTTGTTATTTAACTTTATTTTATGTGCATTAGTGTGAAGGTGTCACAACCTTTTCTTTCTTGTAACACCCCCCTTCTAGCAGGGATTTCATTCAGTATCTATTATTGAGTGCAGCCTTGCCAGCATGGAGCTACAGTGGGGACCATGGATGGCGATATGTGTTCTAAAGGCATTTAACTTGAATTCCACATAAAGGGGAGTTCTAATAAATATGCACACAGCCAGAGTAACGATAGTTTGTGGCTGGGATCCACAAAGGAGAAACCGTGATGTAAGATAAGGAGAAAACTGGCTTCAGACAGGGTAGTCCCCTGGTGCCCAAGGATGAAGAGCCAGTCAGAAGAGGAGCTGGAACAAGAGCCATTTCTAGGAGAGGGCTCAGTGACTGTAGAAGTTGGGAAAGAGCATTTATGGCTAAGAAACAGAGAAACTGTCTATATGACTCTGGAGTACCAGCCAAGTGTGTGTGGGGATAAAAAGAGGCTGAAGGCTAGAAAGGCTGCTCAGCAGGTGCACGTGCTTGCTGTACAAGCCTGAGCCACTTGCATTTGAACCCTGGGAGCACGCAAAGGCGGAAGGGGAGACCTGCCTCCACAAAGTGTGCTCTGAGTGCCCACCTGTGCGCCCTCGCCCTGTGCCAAGTCACATGTCACAGTGATTAGAAGAAAATAAAATCCTTTCAAACTCGGGCTGGAGGGCTGGGCACAGAACTCAGTGGGTTCTGATTACCTGACTTGGAGCCCGGGAGCCGACTCCACAAAGTTGTTCTCCTGCCTCCACACACCCCATGGCACTCGTGTGTATGCACGAATCATACACAACCACAACAATAATGAATAAAACTAAACTTAAAGAGGCTAATTAGAGAAACGAACAGCAAAAGTAAAATAACAGTGGTGGTGCGCGCCTTTAATCCTAGCACTCGGGAGGCAGAGGCGGGGGATCCCTGTAAGTTCCAAGACAGCCTGATGTACAGAGTGAGTTCTAAGACAGCCAGGACTATTGGGGAAAATCCAACCCAAACAAAACAAAACAAAAAACCCACAACTACCAACCAACCAACCAACCAACCAACAAAACAAGAAACACAACTGGGAATAGGCAAAAGATTTTTAGAAAATAGTCAATAGACAAAAAACTAGTAAGCATTTCTCCTTAAGTTAAAAACCACACAGAGGCTAGCGCAATGATTAAGATGGCCTCTGTCAAGCGGAAAGTTACAGCTGTTAAGGCTATGGCACAACTGACCTCCATTGCACGAATGGGAACGAGGTCCTGTGGCTTGTGGCTGGGATTGCAGAACAAAGGTTTGGCTTGCTCAAGGCTCTGCATCCAATATTAGCACCAAGGGAAGGAAGGACATAGCTGCTGCGACAAGGTGAATGATTTTTACCCAAACAAAAAAATTAAAAATAGATAATGTGGATTTTCATTTTGGGGTCTTAGTTAGGGTTTTATTGCTGTGAAGAAACCATGACCATGGCAACTCTCATAAAACAAAACTTTTCATTGGAGCTGGCTTACAGTTTAGAGGTTTAGTCCGTTATCCTCATGGTGGGAAGTGTGGCAGCCTGCAGGCAGACATGTGCTGGAGAAGGATGGAGAGTTCTTGATCCCCAGGCGGCAGGAGACTGTGCCACACTGCAGCAGCTTGAGCACATCAGGCCTCCAAGCCCGCCCCCACAGTGATTCGCTTCCTCCAAGAAGGCCACACCTACTGACAGTGCCACTCTATGGCCGAGCGAGCGTTCAAATACATGTGTCTTCGTTTGTGTCTTCGGGAGCCATTCCTATTCAAGCCACCACAGATGTGTACGCAAAGAGTTGAGTTTGGGATGCTAGGCTCTCTAGTGGTTGCTGACGCCAAGTGCTCTCTACGACTAGAAGAAATAAACATTTGCATGTAACTGGAAGATACCCGCGACCAGCTGCAGACTTCTTAAGAACCTAGGACAAGTTCAAGAAAACTCTTCAAACTACACTCCCACCTCTCATCCCTGGAAACAGCAGCGTCCCAAACAGGACGCACAACCCCGTCTTTCTCAGTTTTGTTGAAATGAGCTAATCTACCCCGAGATGACTATCTGTGGTAGTGCTTGAGTGGAGAGGACAGGTCCCGGAGAGACAAGGATTCTAGTGGAAAGAGCCCTCAGGAGTGGGGGGGGCCGCTCATCCAGCCGAGACAGAACGCCACCCCAGCTGCCCACGCGGCCAGCGCGGCCCTCCCAGCTGACTACCCTGTCACTAGGACGCCTGCCGGGAGGGTGAGGTCCCCACGGTCCTCACAGCCGCTGCGCCCGGAAGTGAGGAGGGCTGAATAAAAGAAAATTCCTCCGGGAGGTTCTCCTGTCTGCCTCAAGACCACTTCAAGGTTACTTGACTCTCAAGTTGCCTCCCGCAAGAGCGAGAGAGCACAAATGGGCCACTAGGTGGCAGCAAAGTGCAGCAAGAGGACTTCATTCTCAGCAACGGTCCCTCCCGGCTTCTCTCCACGCTGGCTGGAATCTGGCCCAGCTTCTAGTTTGTAATGGACTCTTCAGGCAGGCGGTGGGGCCATCTCCCCCCAGTTGAAATTGCTCAGCCCTCTGCCCCCTCATCGCCTCCTTCCGGCCCGGTGAAAGGCGGGCAAACACTTGCAAGGACTCTCCACATCTCCTGAAGGTTTGGCTGCCAGGAAGGCGGGCTGGTTGGTGTGGGGAGCAGGTCTAAGGACAGAGAACCCAGGCTCCCTGCCCGCAGCCACTCTTGCTGTTAATAGCGTCTGCTCTTTGGGCACAGAATGAAAGAAACCTGGCTCCAGCTGGGTGTGACCCAAGGGCCCACAGCACTGCCCTGCTCCTGCTTTCCTTAGGGTGGTCTGAACCCTGACTGTTATACGCGCTCTGTCCACTAACTGTGTGAGAGAGGGGGAGGCATTTAAGCTTCCGAAAGGACAGCAGAGAAGCTAGGGTTCTTCCCCCTGCATGAGAGATCTCCGGATGAGCAGCACCTGGTGCCCGGCGGGGCCAGCAGGGCTCCTTGCCTCCCTGGAATGTGTTCCTTCTTGTTTGGCGCTGGCCCCTGGCTCCCAGCCAAACCTGGGGCTGCCTGGAATGCGATGCCCCCACCCACATCTC